TTTTTTTTTTTTTTCTCCCTACCAGGCCCGAGGGAAAGGATTACAGCGTACACAGGCTCATTTTGGGCACTCACACGTCTGATGAGCAGAATCACCTGGTTATTGCTAGCGTGCAGCTGCCCATTGATGATGCCCAGTTTGACACCTCGCACTACGACAGTGACAAAGGAGGTGGGTATATTGATAAAGAGAGAATGTATAATGCATTCACTTCATATTTTATATACTTACAGCTTGCAAACATATTTCTCTATATTTCCCTGAAGAGTTTGGAGGCTTTGGCTCAGTAAACGGCAAGATTGAGATTGAAATCAGGATCAATCACGAAGGAGAAGTGAACCGTGCCCGCTATATGCCCCAGAACCCCTGCATCATTGCCACTAAGACCCCCACCTCAGATGTGCTGGTGTTTGATTACACCAAGCATCCTTCAAAGCCAGGTGCAACAATCACACAAAGCACAACACACCGCTGAAGATGTTCTTGAGTACGTTATGAAAAACTGGATTGTGATTGGTAGCTTGCTGGTATTAAAACAATTATACAACTTCATCAAAACATAAATACTGGGCGTACAGAATCGCTAGTCAAAAACAAACTTGTCTGTTCAGTTCTTTTAGACTCACCTCTCTTCCAGTGTCTCTGAATTGACAGTTGATTTTATTATGTCTTTAGATACTCCAGGAGTGTGTCGCCCTGATCTGCGTCTCAGAGGCCACAAGAAAGAAGGCTATGGTCTATCCTGGAATTCAAATCTGTCAGGAGCTCTTCTTAGTGCGTCAGATGATCACGTAAGAGGAAGTAGTTCTTGTTTTATGAAGAAATGGTGCTAAATATTTTTCTGTTTTTAATTTTTAGCAGCAGATATTTCCAACTAGGGCTATTTTACAGATTTGTTATATTAGTTTCAATCACTATATTTCCAGTACCATAAATAAAAGTAAACTGCTTTGCCAAAAAAGTCACACACACAGATATTTTGGTGGGCCGACTTCAGCCTTCATGACCGCTTGCATTCACTGTTTGGTTCCAATCCCTCGAGTTGTCTGTGTGACGTGCACATGGAAATGCTCGTAATTTAACTATTAAACTGCTCTCAGCTTTGTTCATTTGCAGCTTCAATTACTGTAGTTATCACAGAACATTGTTTCTACGATTAGGTTATTGAACTAGCATTTCTGTGCCAGCTGGTGAATTAAATCATTTACTCAGCTGATCCTTTACATCAGGGGTCTCAAACTCCAGTCCTCAAGGGCCGGTGTCCTGCAACTTTTCTACGTGTCCCTGTTGCAACACGCCTGAATACAATTAATTAAAGTCATTAGCAAGACTATGCAACTTTTAGACTGCATGCTGAGGTGGAAATTCAGCCGTTTGATTCATGTTACAGCAGCTTGTGAGTGAATGAACATGGTGCAATAAAAGTACTTTTAGAAGTTCATTTTTCCAAACACTTACATTTACTTAAATTTAGCATGCAGGTGAGTTCTATATTCTCGCTAATGAGCTACTAATTTTATTCAGGTGTGTTTGCAACAGGAACACCGGCCCTCAAGGCCTGTGTCCCAAGTAAGAGACTGCACGCTTGAAGTACGCGCACTACGTACGGTGCGTACGGTGCGTACTATAAGTACGAGAAGTGTGGAAGTGAGAGGCTTGTGAAATGGGACGGTACACGCTTCGTCGTGCTGTTCAGGTTGCCTAGCAACCATGATACTAACCACGAGGCACGTTACATACAGCGTTGTTTGACAGAAATGAAGGAGAAAATGTTTTGTTAGTCATTCATTTTTGTCATGACATCACTTTGATTAGTTGAGTATCTGAGGCTGAAACCACAAGACTGTAAAACATGATTGTTGGGCTTCATTTCTGTGCTGAACAGTCATTTAAGATTAGTTAGTAAATAACAATTAGTTAATGTTGTTCATGAGACTAAAGTCATCTCACTGTGGTAATGTAAATATAATATGGCCAATATTATAGTATTGTCAGAATATTATGAGATGTGTGTGTGTATATCGATCTATCTATCGATCGTCATATTCAGTACTTTTGACAGTTCACTCTTCGGCCGCTCCGTCTTATTAGGGAAATTCCACATACATAAATGTAAATTTCAAAACTCAACCCCATCATTTAATTTGTTTTTGATTGAAATTGAATATTACTTAAACTCTCTTAAATTAACTTCCAATAAAAAAGGTTTATCATTGATTGAAATTCGTTCAGCAATGTTCAACGAATGAGCTGTCACAACTTTCAAATACAAAATTGTTATGAAGTCTGTCACATCCCCCCCCCCTTCTTCTTTTTTTATCCTTTATTTATTTATCCTTCTTATTTCATTGTACTGTATATTGTTACTCTTATTTGTCTACTGTAAAAACTGAACTCGAATGACTGACTGTTCGCTTTATGGTTTCAATAAAGTTTGGAAGAAAAAAAAACAACCTCTTCAGCCGCTCCCGTCTGCCGTATTTTGCGGCAAAATTATCCACACCCACCGCCGCGTTATGAATTGTGGGATATATGGGACCACGAAGCGTGCACCGGACCACGCTTGATATTTGGGGAAATGGACGGCGCATTTGGAGTATGCATTTGAAGCACACTTCGAATTGGGACAGCCGCCGTCGCGTGGCGGTGACGTAACCGCACTTAAAATGCGTACTTCAAGCGTGCAGTCTCTTACCGGTAATTGGGACACAGCCAAGGACTGGAGTTTGAGACCCATGCTTTACATCAGGGGTGGGCAATTCCAGGCCCCGAGGGCCGGTGTCCTGCAAGTTCTAGATCTCACCTTTGGTCAACACACCTGAATCACATGATTAGTTCATTACCAGGCCTCTGGAGAACTTCAGGAGCTAATTTAGCCATTTAAATCAGCTGTGTTGGTTCAAGGACTCATCTAAAACCTGCCCTCGAGACACCGGCCCTCGAGGCCTGGAGTTGCCCACCCCTGCTTTACATTCATAACTACAATGACTTCTGTCTAAATGTTTTTCCACAAATGCTGTCAGAAACTGACCTTAATGAAATGTCAGGAAGGTATTAAAAATGTGCACTGCCAAAAACCTGCTGTTAACAATCATTTTCCAATTTGACTACGTTTTTACAAAACTGAAGTGCAAACATGAGGTTTGATGTGCTTTTGTCCCTTAGACAATCTGTCTGTGGGACATCAGTGCTGTTCCCAAGGAGGGCAGGATAGTAAATGCAAAGACGGTCTTTACCGGTCACAGTGCTGTGGTTGAAGACGTCTCTTGGCATCTGCTTCACGAGTCGCTCTTTGGATCTGTAGCAGACGACCAGAAGCTTATGATGTAAGGCTCTCAGTCAAATACCACGCGCAGGTGAAGCACACTTACAGTTTTTTTTCAAATGCAGCAAAAGGATGAGCGTCACCCTGTGTCTTGTCCTTAAAGTTGGGACACTCGTTCAAACAATACCTCCAATGCCAGCCATGCAGTGGAGGCCCACACAGCAGAGGTCAACTGTTTGTCATTTAACCCTTTCAGCGAGTTCATCGTTGCCACCGGCTCAGCAGACAAGGTGATATAATATTCCAACACTTTTTAATTGGTATTGTTTTTATTAACAGCAGGACTTTTAACTGAGTGCATTTTGTAACTGTTGACTAAATAATCCTCATGGTATTGTTAGTTTTGTAACTGCAGTGTTGTTGCCGAAAATGTTGCAGGCATGTTGTAATCTATATCTGTGCCGCCCACAGACCGTGGCTCTTTGGGACTTGAGAAACCTGAAGCTAAAGCTACATTCCTTTGAGTCGCACAAAGATGAGATCTTTCAGGTAAGATGTTTCTTTATATGAATGAAATTGTACTGAAATAAGGACAGTATCTAGTGGTGCAGTGATATAATTTTGTATATTTTATACTGATTTAAATTTTAAAATAAAGCACTGAAATAAATCTTATGTAGTATATGCCTCTTTTGACTCAACCTGCTGCCTTCAGCCTGCAGCAGGTTTGGTAAATTTAAATATTATATTAAAGTAAGTTAGCAGTCTGTCTAAATAATATATTTTAACTTCTGCAGCTTTTTTATTTAATTTTTTTTATATCCTACAAACAAACTTCAGTGGCTGGGAGAAACTGGAAAAATGCTTTTCTTCACCTCTGAGCTCGTTGAGCAAACATGTTGGTTTGATCAAGTACTGCTGCTAGTTCTCTTACCTGTGAGGCTTTTAATCTCGATTACAATAAGACGCGTTGCTGTTGCGGACTGTAGAAAAACTCCACCCAAACTCACCGTCTAGGTCAGAGCACCGCTTCTTTGCTGTTTGCTGTGTAATGGCTCAGCTCGGCGTTAAACTACGACAGCAATGACTTTGCTGCTGATATCAGTGTTCTTGTTGAGAAAATAGTGGCTGTGTGGGTTTCAATATACACTTCTGCATTTTGATTATTATTAATATTCCTGATGATCATGCAGATGCCAAGACGTTCTTGTAATTCCAAAGCAGTGAATCACACAGACAGTAACTCAAATATTTACTTTTATGATGAATGAATGACCTGCGTTAATTGCTTTTCACCTTCAGCGCCTTAAATTCTGTTTTAGGTTCAGTGGTCACCTCATAATGAAACCGTATTAGCATCTAGTGGAACAGATCGCCGCCTCAATGTCTGGGATCTCAGGTACACACATTATTTGATAAGACCTTCTTAAAACAGATGGCTTTAAAGACTTGGTTGACCCCTGAAATGTGTGGCACAGTGTAGTGACATTGCCTTGTATAAAGTTTAACTCTCGTTTCTTCTTCTGTAGTAAAATTGGCGAGGAGCAGTCTCCAGAAGATGCAGAGGACGGCCCGCCTGAGCTTCTGGTGAGACTCGCTGAAGTCTGTAGAAGTGTCGCCATCTTGCATTGATGTATGCCGAAACTTGAAGCTTCTCTTCTCTTTACTAGTTTATCCACGGAGGCCACACAGCCAAGATCTCTGACTTTTCCTGGAACCCCAATGAACCCTGGGTCACCTGTTCTGTGTCTGAGGACAACATTATGCAAGTGTGGCAAATGGTAAGACAGCTGTGACCACATGTTAGCTTTCAATCCCTCTGCCTTGTACCATACGATTTTTAATGCTTTTTGTGAGTGTGTTGTTCCATCTGCCAATTATTTTATTTATTTAGACATATTTTTACTAAAGGTTTTCCCACAGCTAATATTTTTGAGTCTGAATAACTGACACTGATTTGTCCGTGTAGGCTGAGAACATCTACAATGATGAAGAACCTGAGGGTACAATGGAAAGTGAAGCTACCGCGTAACACCTCCACGTGTCGTGTGCATTCACCTACAAGCCTGATCACAAATAGTTCCACTCAGCTACTCCACCATCCTGCTCCGCTTCCATCGGGACACTAAATGCTAAGAACACAGTGTGACTAAATGTAGCGCTGGCTTGTTTTGGAACACTGAAAGTGACTCGTTTTAGTAACTTACTGCCTCAAGAATTTCACTTTTTTCATTTTTATTTCTTTATTGTTTTTTTCAATGCACTTATGTATAATCTGTATTTTTGTAATTAACTGGCTCTTCCTTGTACAATGCTATATTGTAAATGCTTTCTTTCCCTAATAAAGTGTTATTGAACAATTAAAAGTGATTATGTTACAATGTTAAGTAAAATGCCAGCTAGAATTTGACGCAGTCCACAGAACAGTGGCATTGAATGTGACTTTCTTGAAGTAACGCTCCTGAAATCTTGCTGCTCTGGTTTTTGTGGACTACAGATGATTATAGAAGAGAGATTTAGAAGGTACTGTTGTCATTTTCATCCTGTTATGTTTTTTGTTTTTTTTTGTTTTTTTACTGGAAATGACAAGCAATGACTTGTGACAGACAGGTTGTTGGTCTATGAGCACTAACTGCACTGGACACTCCTTTCTGACCCTTACAGTCACCCTAATTTATTAACAAAATGAACTCTGTGTTTGATTCTTTATGACCTCAAAATAGTAACTGAGTGTTAGCAGACTGTTTATCTGGATCATAAAGGAGTAGAGACCTAATTACACACAGATAAAGCCAGAAGTCTTCAGAGTCATCGCCCTCTGCTGGCCATTTAAAGAAATGCACGTTTTTACTTTTCAGGGTGAAAAGTTACTGTATGGAGGGCCACAAGTGCCAAAATGAATGAAATCAATACCTCATTAAACAATTAAACATGATTGATTAGTTTTTTAAAATGAAATGTCATTAATTAAAATCATAAAATTTTAAAGTGACATGAATAGATATTTAAGTTTATTTAAGCCATACATTTAATGACACTAAATTATTTATTGATATATTATTTGATTCATTTTGGTACTCATGGTACAGCATAGTTTATTCTCCTTCAGCCACAAACTTTTTTTGCATGTTTAATATTTTGCATGTTTAACATCCACTATGCCTGTAATTCTGTGAAAATGAGGATTGTCTCCTTGTCGAACGTGAGCATTATAGTCACAGTTTTTAATCATTTTAGTGAAAGAGTTGATGATGCTTCGTCACACTTTGCTCAGGCCTCTTTTGTGTTGTGATGTTTTGGTACTTTTTCCCGTCTCTGAGGCTTACTCACCCTGTTCGTCTGTGTCCCAGTGTTTAGTTCTTCAGGCACGTTGGCCTTATAAGTACAAGAAATTCAGTCTGCTCTTCAGAGACAGACATTAACTCATCAGTGGCACTTAGATTACAAAGAACACACTGCGTTTATTCATAACAAAAACTTTCCTACAAGCTGCAGTCTAGTTTATCTTTACAAAAAAAAAAGATTGCCTTGGTTTTGTCCTATAACAGCATGTATGTTTATATGTGTTAAAGTGCACTGATCAAACCTTTAGAGTTTACTATGTTTCCTAAAACACAAGCTCATTTTGTGTGAAGAACAGTCATGTTTCCTCCTCATTGTCACCCATGTTATGGTCCTGAATGGCATTTCTGTAAAGAAAAACAATCTAGTTACAGGCTTAAAGGTTTAAAGGTGTGGTGCAGACTTGATGAACGGATTACCTGTAAAGTAGGAGCTGCTCGTTAAGGCTATCTCTCAACTCCTTGATCTCTTTGGTTTTTCGCTTCTGAATCTGTAACTCAGTCTTCAGTTCTCTGCTGCTCTCCTCCAGACAGTGCACCGTCTCCTGAGAGGCAGGCATAATGTCAGTGTTTTTGTCGTCATGCCCTACTTTTTCCTCAGTCACCTTGGTTACCTTGTACTGCCCCACGTTTTCTCTTCTTTGCATGTGGATAAGATTGAGTTTCTCCTCCAAACAAGCCCTCTGCAGCTTCAGTTTTTCTATCTCCTCCATCAGAGGTCTCAGCTGGGCTCTCAGCTCCTGGGCCTGCTCTTTGGCTTTAACGATTGCGCCAGCTGTTGCCTCTCTTCTCTTCAACAGTGCAAGCAAAATGGGCTCATACCTGGACAAGCAAATCAGAGAAAGCTTTAGTGTTTTATAGCTGTAACACTGTGTCAGTGGGTTTTTATGTCTTAAAACTACAGCACTACCAAATGTCTGTGTGTGTCAAAAGGAAGAAAAACACGTGTTTTGGTGATTCCACTGACTGCACCTGTCCTCCAATGCTTTCAGGCCACCCTCCACATACTGCTGTATGTCCCCACATGAATGCCTCCTGCATTCAGTCAGCTCCTCTGCAGTGTTGGTAGTCTGACTGGAGCTCTGTTCCTGGAGCTTCGCTCTTACTACTGAGAGCTGTTGTTGTTGGGCCAGCCTGAGCTGGCAGCCCTCTTCTATCAGCTGGAGCACCAAGGACTTCAGCTTCTCCTGGAAGAAATTCATTTAGAAGAAGATGAATGAATGGTTGGAAATGCATGATGGATGGAAATGTAATTATGTTCTTACCTCTTCTCTCTTTAGTATCTCCACTTCACGGCGCTGGTTGTTCAGAGCTGCCTGGCTGTGGGCGCAGCCCCTCGCCATTGCAAATAGCCTCCTCTTCAGCTTTCTAAGCTCATCTTGTAGCCCCTGTCTCTCCAGGTTCACCTTCCACATCCTTCTTTCCTCCTCTGCCCTCTCCTCCCTGAGGATCTCTCTCTCCCTCTTTCTTTCTCCCCTTCTGCCTTCTTGTTCTTTTTTGAGCACATTCATCAGGTCTGCCACTTTGTTATCAATCCGCTCCTCCTCCTCCTCCTCACTTGCCCCTTGGCCCATTTCCCCTCTCAGGCACAGCACCTCTACCAGCAGCTCCTTCCTCCTCTTCTGTAATCGCTGTACCCCTTCAATGCAGTCCTCCATCTGAGTCCCCAAGGCCTCTAATTCTGTCACACTAGATCCCAGATCTAAGGTGTCTCTCTTGAGTTCTTCTGGCTTCTCAGACAGGAGTTCATTGGCATCTACATCAATCTCAATCACATCTCCTGTTGTTTCTGTGCTTTCATCAAATATATGTCCAGGCTTCATTCCCTCGCAGTACATCGTGTTCTCTTCTGTAGTATCTATGGGTGTCTCTGAAAAGCCGAACACCTTGTCTGTTTTTAGATGACCTGGGCTTTCTGATCGGTCCACAGAGAGCTCACCCATCATGTCATGGCCAGACAAATCTTTGTGCTGGCTGCCATTTGTTGCTGAACCTGCTGTCATTCTTTTCCCGGTGTCCTTGGAAACTTGACCTTCTTCCCAGGAGTCCAATTGCATTGGCTGGCTCTCCGTCTTTAATAGCCTCTCTTGCTGAATGGGCACCAGTGTTGTGCCTCTATAAAGCTGAGGGTTCTTGTTGATGTGTACATATTCTTGGCTTTCATCTGTAACCCACTCTTGGGGTTCAAAATCCATGCCAGTTTCTTCCATACAGCCCTCCAGCATGGCTAGCATCCCCAGCAGCTGGCCTTCATACTCCACCATGGTTTTGCTCAGTTTGTTACCTGCTGATGTCAGAGGCATTTCTGCCTGGCGACAGCGTTCTGTGGTCACGCCACACCTGTCGATGACAGTTCCCATGCAATGCGATTGGCCCTGGGCAGGCTTTTCTTCGGCACTGGTCCCATCTATGTGTGTGTCAATGTAGCTAGTTGAAAGATAGGCTTGGGGGTGTTTCCATGCTTCTCCACACTTTTCCACTGTTACTTCCTCTTTTGCCTGACCATGACTGGATTCATTCAGATTTGTTTCAGTATAATTTGCTGAGTACTGAGAGCCAAATGAAATACCGGTGAGCTCTTCACAGCTCTTCAGTAAGTCATCCATCTCCTGTAGGTATGGCTTTATCAAAGCTGATTGCTTTAGCTGTGCGCCTGTGAAGGTGAGGTCATGGAGGTTTGTGTTGCATTCTCCTTGTTCCATGAGGGATCTCTCTGGATCCCCCTCCTCTTCCTTAATGAAGAGTGGCTCAAAACCAGAGGATGAAATGTTATCATCTAGGTCATCCATCTGTTTGGCCTAATTCCCGTTGCCCGTTTTGATGTAGAAGTCCCCTTCAGAAAGGCCTGTTAAACCAGATGAATACGTTAGGCAGTCTCAGGCCTCTTAGCTATATATTAGGTCTGGCTTAAAATGATAACATGTGAGCATACAATAGGGGCTGGGTTAATGTTTTGGCTGGACTTGCAAGCTATGCTGATGTCATTAGCACATGTGGGCATGTGGAGGCATGGTTTAGCAGGGTATGTTTTTGACAGCTGCTCCCTTAGGCTAGGTGCCACGGGCACCAATTCAGTGCATGGCCACGGTCAAACACACCTCAGACAAGTATGCATTCAATGAACACAAAACCTCTAGTGATATAAACACACACAGACAGTTTTCATCTGAAGTTCCAGCAAGTGGCATTACAGAGATTACACCAGCAAGCAGATTATCATAACATGTCATTGTCCCTGTCGATGGATGGGCACTTGGAGTCTCCCCTGGTGAATAATGCAGCTGTAACTGTACCCTTTGAGGTGTTTGCCAAGACTAGCCAGATACTCCCCAAGGGTAAATTGATCAAATTGACCCAATAATGTCATCGGGTAGAGATTTGAGACAAGAGAGACAAGATCCATGTGATAGATGCTGTTTCTTGGTTTGAAACCAACTAAAAAAAGCAAAGAATCAAGCTAGAACTCTTGTGCTTGTATTTAACTAGGTCATTTCATGTAATTAATGAGCATATTTTAGAAGCTACATTTTGTTGTTCTTTCTTTGACATGTTTGACTGCTAACAGAACAAAGCTCAGTAGAAGATATGACAGGGACCAGCTGTCTCACTGCAGGACAGGTGCTGGGATAAGGCACAACACCCAGAGACAGCACCAGCATGCGCCTGATGTCCATCTTACACAAAAACATTTACTTATCAGTTAAGCAAAAGGCCACAGTAAAAATAAAAAACTGCATTATGAACAACAACAGAAAGTTCATGAACGTATAACTAATTTAAACCATCACAAGAACTTACTTCTCAACATATGATTCCTTTTTTCTGCCTTCCTGCTGTATTCCGATGATGAATCTGCTGAGCAAGAATAAAATCAAGGCGCTCTGGTTCAAACGACAAAAGTAAAGTGAGTGTTAAAGAATGAGCGGGAGCAGCGAGTACAGATGAACCGAGAGAGGAGGGGGGATAAAGACAGTTGACCCAGCCTCCTCTCACTCAGTCACTGTGCTGCTATGCGTGACCATGACTACCCCGGGTCTGTTTATGTCTATTAATAAACACTGTGCAGGGGGAAAGAAGAGGCACAGCAGGCTGCCTGTTTCACCCCGAGAGTATGAGGTTCAATTTGTGTCAAAATTTTGCTCATGTGCACAATTTTTACATCGACTGAAAATGTGACAAAACTTTTGTTTTTGAGCTCTGAACTGTTTTTCAAATACTACGAAACTCTTTAACAAACACACCTGCCAAAGCAATTGTTTGTACCAGGAGCTGTAAAGTGCTGAAAACTGCAGTTGTGTGCTGCACTCTGAAGCCCATTCTTTTCTGTGGCTTGCAATAATGTGTTTGCACTGCATTAAGTAAAGTGCAGCATAAGTGTGCCGGCTAAAGTGCATTTATGTGTGCTGCAGCTGAACTTTGACTGCGGCCATGTTTGACTTGTATGTGATATGCATCCAAGTAGACGGGAAGGCCATGAGCAAGAGATTTAATTATGTTGTACAGGCAGGGCTTGGTGACCAGCGACCACAACATGCCATGTTATAAAAAATTAAGAGGTAGGTAACAACAGTGAATATGACATCAATTTGATGTGAACTTTGCCATTTGTGAGGCACCGCACGACGAGTATAAAATCCTAATAGTCATCGCAGCACATCCCACTTCCTGTCTGAAAGATCCTTTAATGTGCTGATCTTTACAGTATGATAAGGCATGTTTTCTGGCTTGTATAAAAAACATTACTTGCCTCTATGAAAAGGGAGGTGCCAACTGTTGACCATCATTATTTCCTAACCGCACCCCCCTGTAAATGGTGTCATTGATTTGTACTGCTGAGGTGTGTTTGTGGTGTTGATGCCTTTTGGTGCTTTATTGTGAAATTATCTGAAAGTCATATGTCTTACGGTGTGGTATTGTTTGTGCTTCAGTTTTGGTGAATGAAATTTAGGGATTTTAGTCTCATCTTAATGAATACTATGTTGTCTGTGTTGTGCTCATACAGTTTATAAATCTTGGTTAGCTAGCTTTTATTAACCAAGCTAGCTAACCATGCTTGCTAATAGAGATTGACAGACCATGTGACTTTCGCGCATTGCATTGTCGGTACGAGGGCAACAAAATCAAAACACTGCATCAAGCACTAGCATTTCCAGCACCGGTAATCATTAATTCTGCGGTTTTAATCCCTACTTGCATTTTATTTGCCCCAAAACCAGTTATGTACAAAACAACGGAGAACACGGCAGGTCTGTACAAAGACAGACTTGACGAAAAGGCAAAAAAAAAGTATGAGGAAAAAAATCAAAGGAGTGAAAGGGTCAGACCCATACAAGTAAGGACGTTAGCGTGCTGCCCGACTTTCATCACGCACATATTTATTATTATATGGTCCTAAGTGTGAGTGCATACACTCACAAAATGTTTAGTAACTTCAGATCCCTGCAACAAGCCCAGGTCCAGTTTACTTTGGTGATTTGGACTATTCCATTTCACAGCTGTTGTTAGATTTTTTTTCTTTATCTCCTGTACAGGCCAACGCAATCTATTTGTCATTTCAGGTTGTAGTATTACACAACATTTTCGGATCTAATAGGAAAAAAAAGAGTTTCGTAATTCATTCAATTATTGTCCTTATTTATAACTGGCATTATTATTTCATTCTATTATAGAATCTTACAGGAAAGACGCAAAATTGTATTCCATTGTGCTTTATCAGCTGCTTCGGTGAAAAACAAATCAACAATGAGAAAAAAAAAACAACATTGCAAAACAACATACTGGAAAACAGTTATTCATCACTTGATTGCTTCAATACAACACTGGGGCACATATATGCAGGACTTTTCGTGGCTGTTTTGATATTGCTCTCCCTCTTAACCGATCAAATCTTGCTGTGGTAGCAGCTTTAAACTCGGTATGACCCAAGTTGATAGAGGGTGCACAGTCTGGATCGCATTCCAGCATTTTGTAGGCTGGTTTTCCTACAAAATACAACAAACATTAGCCCACAAAGCCGCCGCGAACAAAGCAGCATAGCGCAACGAATTCAACTCAAATTAAGACTTATTTGTAACCTACATCAACAATTATGTTATGATAAATTACGTAATAACTACAACAGAAGACTGACCTTTGTGGGAATGCTTGGAGTGTTCTGGAACGTGATATTTGGTCTTCGAATGGCTGCAATCCAGGCCATCCGTCGGCTCTTTGTTACTTTGGAAACACGGCTTAAACAATTTCTCTTCCACGACGTAATCAACAACAAACAGCATGTCAGGGCATTATTCTCAACATCCAAATGAGAGGAAGTGCAACAAGATAACAGTATAGTTTGATTTACACAAATGCGAAACAGTGTTTTGTTCATAAACAGTATAAAAGATGGATGTAGGTAGCTACTGTGAAGTCCATCAATATTCATCCGTCAACTGAAGTACAACTACATATTCAGTGGGACGGCTGCACATTTAAACATAATTTTGGCACAAATAGGACCCCATACAGGACAGATAATGGGCTTTCCAAGTAGAAAGTTTATTAGTTCTCTCATTTTAGCTCATTTAGCTGTTTTATTTTCTTGAATTATTCAACATAATCTTGGAAAAGTCTGCCTTATTTTTAATTGCTGCTGTATAGTAAAAACAAGGCCACCAAATTCCCAGGAATCTCTTAGTCTTGACACCTTAGAGATCAGGGAGTGTAGATGCATCCGTTACGGCTGCTGAGAGGCGTGGGCATGTGTTTATGATGAAAGAACACGGCTCCAGGATTCCACCCCTGCCATCTCATTATCGAAAAGTCTTTAAATAGCTGCCTGCATTTTTCTGGCTGTTTCCCAGAGGAGGATCGTTTTCCATCCAAACTCCTGACCCCCAACAATCAACTGGCAGACAGGTGCTGCTCCGGACGAGCGGTGAATGACATGGATACAGATTATTTGGAAAATATGAGGCAGATGAAAAAGAAATGAGATGATGGCGATGATGCAATAAAGAGAAAGATAGTAAAGAGCAGATATTACTGTGACCTAAGCAGCAAAGAATTGCTTTGTGGTTTTTTTACACCAAAAACTATTATTTAAATTCCCTTTGAGTGACTTTTCTTTTTTATCTAGAACTTAAAAAATTAATTCCCTGTATGAGTTTTTTGTATACTGTTGTATTTTGTCAGATTTTATATCTTTCATTTTACACTACTCATATATTAGTACTTTCGTATTACAGCTAAACACCACTAGATGGCCTCATAGCTTAATTTGAACTTTTATGACACTGGGTAACATTATAGAAAATATTTAAGATTTTCTATAATGTTAAGAACAGCTGTTTTATGTTCTTTAAATGCAGAAATGTACTCCCAGCTGTTACTATACCATACTGTGGTTTTTCTCTCTTTTTCGTTTCACATCATCTCAGCTTGCTCAAAACAGCCAGAAGAAAAAGATGGACTCAAACTGTCAAAGATTAATTTACCACATATCCCCCTGTGATGTGTATTTACTTGACCCTGTCTACTAAATATACTTCATGTGCAGTTAACACCCTGTAAAACAGTGACGATCGTTCCCCTGAGATCGTGATTCAGTGTTTCCATTGCAAACGTATGTCCCCTGTGCTCAAGAGAAGATGTAATGTTTATCTAATTCACCCTCCTCGAATGCTTCAGCTCTGTGTTTTGGCAAGTCCCGGCTTAGGGAAAGAGACGGTAATTTACGTGACGTTATGTCCAGGGCTGATCTGTTTCAACACATTGTTTAACACTGGGATGATGCACACCCACGCAGCCACTGGGAGAGAGGCTTAGTGGCGCTCCCTCTCTTCCTCAGTTCCTTGCCTGAAAAATGATTAGAGTATAGATGGAGAGGTGATCAGTGTGTGTGCGTGGGTGTAGAGTAGGGCAAGGGGGGAACCAAATATTCAAGGGGGTGTGGTGGTTGGAAGCCCACTGTCCCACTGAGATAGGCCATATGCTGGACTTGCTGCTCCAAACTGCAGTACTTTCCAAACTCACCAGAATGTCCTGTCAGTGTGTCGTCCTCTTTCTTCTGTTTCTCCTTTCCTTCATCTCTTTCATTTTCTCACAAACAGCAGTAAGGTGTCACTAGCAACAGAAAGCTGAACTAGCTAAATATACCTCTTAAACAGCTGTTATATTGTTATATATTTTATTTTCCAGGGTTTCTAGAAGTACATTTTGTTCTATTTCATAAACACTGATGCCATTTGGAGGGAGCAGTTCAGTTTGTTTGGCTTGCATACAGACCTACAGGACCACCTGTGTGGCACGAGCACAGTGGAGATCACCTGCTTTTAGGTTTTCTCACTCCTGCTCCTGAACCTCATTAACTTCTTCTTTGTAACACACCTAAATAAACTAAATGTGCATTGTCAGCTGTTAAAAAAAGGAAAAAATCAGGACAGTTTGGGAAAATGTTTCCTGGTGTTTCATGTTGAAGTGTCCTATATGGGTCATTTGTTTGTGGTTGTGCTTGTGTTTGGGGGGTCTGACCACATTTGCCATACAGGGAATTAATATTGTTCTTGTTATAAAGTCAAGATTGAAACAAAGCTATAGCACTGTGCAAAAGTCATGAAAAGAAAAGCACCATCAGATTTTGATCCACCGTGTAATATCATCTGGTTGCATTTGATTTGCAACAGCTTCATTTTTTAGCACGATAATGATCCCAAACACACTTCCAGTGCAATAGAAGCATGCCTGGATAGAAAAACACACCGTGGAACACTATCAGTCATGGATCGGCCTCCCCAGAGCCCGGTCCTTAACATTACTGAAGCAGTGTGGGATCATCTTGACAAAGAAGGGAGTTAATGCGAGACAAATCCAGTCCAGCCCTGGGCACGACACGCAGTGAATTAATCTGAGAAGGTGCATTAAAAAATAAATGGCCGCGCCAGCCGTGCACATCGCAAATTGGATTCTACAAAGACCGGCCCACCAGGTATTACAGCCATAAA